GGGAGTGGGAATGTTGAAATGAATTGAGGGTAGAATGGGAAAGAGGAGTGAGAAGTAGACAGGGAAGACTGGGTTTGCACAGGGAGAAGGTCCCAAGAAATGACGTGAGAAGCCATGTCTCAGAAGGTCATGGGCACTTGGGAGCCCCAATTGCAAGAAGGTCTCCCAGGATGCAATGCTGCCCTAGAGCTGCTCCCTCCTCAGGAAGGGAACATAAATTTGTGCCTGAAAAGGTGGCCATTTTCCTCAATTCTGGCATCAATCAGCTATAATTGTGCCATCATTTCATGTGTGACCAAGACTCTTCTAGTTAGACTGAGACCCTCACCCTTTAATTAAGATGTCTCCCAACTTTAGAACTGTTGAAATGTGAGTGCTTGCCTATCATGCACAAAGTCCTCAGTTCAATCCCCAGCATGGCAAAAACAAAGCAAAACAAAATAAGCACAAGAAAAAACCTGTCCATATCACAATCAGTGCAATGGGGTGATGTACCCCAATCCTTCCCCAGTAGGGGTCTATGCTGCAGGGAAAGTACTGGGCTGGCCCAAAGCAGGGGAATGGGGGTGGATGCTACAGGAAGTGGGGATTAAGTGTGGACTTGTATAATTAAAAGCTGATAAAAGATGTCAACAATGCCATCTTTCCTTATAATTAAGAATATAGGGCTGAGGTTGTGGCTCAGCGGTAGAGCACTCACCTGGCATATGTGAGGCACTGGGTTTGATCCTCAGCACCACATAAAAATAAATTTTATAAAGGTATTGTGCCCATCTACAACTAAAAAAATATTTTTTAAAAGAATATAATTTAATTGCTGTTATTAAAACCTAAACCACTGCCCCATATGGGCTGCTTTTAGCAGAATACCTTTGGTTCTGTGGTTTTCCATACAGACCTTGAAGTCATTAACAAAGAGCCACGGAATGTCCAGACTTCATCTTATGAGCCCATCAGGTTTGAAGAAATACAACAAGCAGGAGAGGGAATTGAATCAAAGGCACAGTTTTTGTTTGTTTGTTTGTTTGTTTGTTTGTTGCTTGTTTGTTTGTTTTGTTTTAATACAGAAAATGTGTGAGTAGCACCAGGAAAAAGGTCCCATACAGTCTTGCAAGGACTAGGTACTGCATGGCACGCCCTGGGGCCATGTACTTGCTTAATCTGAGGCTGAGCCCAGGGCAGAACATAGAAGTCACTTGAGGGGTGAAGAAGGAGGGTGCAGATGCTTTGGGTGAGCCTAGCTAGAGCTTTAGAGAAGCACACAGCCTCACTAGAACTCACACAGTAGAGGAAACAAAAAACATGAATGTTTTCCCCAGCCAGAGGGCACTCCCCTATGTACATGGCTCATGTTGACCTTCACTGTTTGCACAAGAGATTCCCTGCACAGGGCAGAGCTCAGCACCACAGTGTGAAGGGGAAACTGAGGCACAGATTCTCTAGAACATAGGCTGCTCCCTATTGATTCCACTGACACCACTGGCATCATCCCTTTTTTCTAGAAGATCCACCAGCACATGGCCCTTCTCACTTGACCCTGGCCACTCTGGTCTGATAAGTACTTAGCAACTGTCGCCACATGGAATTCTCTGGTTTAAGGGCTGCTTTGATCTGGGGGTACACCTGGAGCTCAGTGTCTCATCCTCACACAGTTGTCATCACATGGGTCCTACACACTCTGCAAATTTCCCCAGCTGGTGGGCACTCCCCTGGTGGGGGCTACATGCCCACAGTGGACAAAAGTTCCTCCCCCTCTACATCTGGAGGTGCCCCCAAGCAGACTCCCCTCATTTTGCAGCTTAATCCTGCAGCAAGCTTGCCTCTTTTCCCCAATACTTCCCTGGGAGACTCTAACCATCCCCTCCAGATAGTGTCGAGTTCCCATCCTTACTTAGACAAGGGTGCCAATGCAGAGCAAGAGGCTGTGAAGGTCCCTGGCAGGCTGCATGTAGCTCTGGGCTTGGTCTCGTCTTCCCCCACTTAGTCAAGAGTTGATCTAGGGTTGGGGATGTGGCTCAAGCGGTAGCGCGCTCGCCTGGCATGCGTGCGTTCGGCTCGGGTTCGATCCTCAGCACCACATACAAACAACGATGTTGTGTCCGCCGAGAAATGGAAAATAAATATTCCCTCCCTCCCTCCCTCTCTCTCTCTCTCTCTCTCTCTCTCTCTCTCTCTAAAAAAAAAAAAAAAAAAAAGAGTTGATCTATTTCCCAAATTGAGTGTCTACTATTTTCTGAAGGGTTTTGAGGCATGAATAAGAGACTGGACTCTCTATGGTGCCTTCTGGTTTAAGCATTCATCCTCCCAAGTCTTGGCAGCTGGACATCTGAAAACAGACTAAGGGAGAAGAATGCAGCCGTGGACCAACAAAAATGCTTGGGGGAGTCCAATAACAGGGATGTGAGTGAGGAACCCACAAGTGAGAAAACTCCATCACATACACACACATACACACACACACACACACACACACACGCACTGCACAACACCTCACAGAAGGACAGGGCAAATGTTCATAGAGAAACCTAAGGTGAGAGAAAAAAGGAGTCACTCAGTCTGCTCTGACTCCTATGATAAATTGCCACAAACCAGGTGACTTATAAACAATGGATATTTCTGTCTCATAGTCCTGGAGGCTGGAAGTCCAAGATTGGGGTGGCAGTATGGGCTGGATTGATATGAATGCTCTCTCTCTGTTTTCACATGGCAAAAGGGATACGAGAATTCTCTGGGGCCTCTTTTATGGGATACTCTTATGGGAACCTCATGAATGGGTTCATGAGGTCCTAACCCATGACCAAATTACTTTCCAAAGGCTCCACCTTGAAACACTAGGGTGGGGACACAAACTTTAGCAATCACAGAAAAGACACTGCTAGAAAGCTATTTCATAGAAGAACTAAAGGCTCTTCAGAGCAACTGCCCACAGGGATGTCAGCTCCACAAGTGTAGCAGCCAAGGCAGTGACCAGACAGCACCGAAAGCTGGTAGGTACTCACCAAACACTTGTTTAAGGAAAGAATGAAGGAGGGATAATCAACATGGGGGAGATACACAAATGCATCATGGAGTTGAAACTGCCAGCCACATGACATCCTGTTATATTCTTCAATTTACTAGAGGTTCTCAGAAAAATTCATGCTTGGGGGGTAGGGGAGAAAAAAACATGTCTTTGGGGGCCATTACCCAATACATGGTACTCCCTCATCTGACACAGCCAGTGCGGTGACCCTCAGCACCTGAGCCATTGAGCATTTGGAATGGGGCCAGTGAGGACCTGAATATTTAATTTTACTCTAAGCCATTAAAATGTTAAGTGACCACATGTAGCTAGTGGTATCTCAGTTAAGACAGCAGGGTGATTCTTTGTCTTCACTGGCCATCACAGTGGGAACAGGCAGGTCTGTACAAGGCCAACAAGCTCCACCCCTATTTACAAACACTGAGTGCAATTATTTGTGCAAGAGACAGTTTTTTTATTGCTTTAGTTTTGAATGAAACCAAAGCAGAGGCCTCTCTAATGACAGCTCTTTTCCTGGTGTCCCCCTGGAACACCGTGGGTGTTGAAAAGTGCGGAACAACTGCATTCCACTGCTGAGAGGGGAAGGCCCATAGTCCTCTGCAAGGCAAACCCCAATCTGCCGCTCCTGGGAGGGGTATGGTGCAAACAGGTAATCACTGCTCCAAGTAGAAGCCCACTGTCACATGGAGGTAACCCAAAGAAAGAGCTGTAACTGGAGGTAGGGTGAGAAGCAGGACTCAGAAAGGTATATCTGCAGCTACCCTTAGAAGAAGGTCACTGAAGCTGTGTCCATGGAGCCTGCTGGCCACTTTGGGCAGATCTATAGAAGTCTACATGTCCTGGTACCAAAAAAATGTGCCCTTAGAAGCTGTGGGTGGGTCTGGCCACCCCCTTTCTTCCCAGATTTGCCTCATGGCAATTGTTCCTGCCTTCTAATTACTGAACTTCACTGCATAAGGGTGAACACAGCCTGAAACAGGTCCAGTTCAGGGTCAACATATGGAAATGCCTGGGTGTGCCTTTGGAGAGGTGATACCAGGGCTGCCACTGCCATTTGGGAGCAATAATAAATCTGACAGCCTAAGAAGGAGCAATTGCCACAGATACACTAGGACAGAAAGGCAGGGATAGAACCTGGCCACGTGCATTTCCTGTTCATCTTGTGTCCAAGTTAGCCTTGATGTTGACCTGGCTGTCAGCTTTTCCTGCTTGGTTTCAGGAAGGGAGGGATCAAAGGGTTCCTCTAGCCCATCCCTGGTGTTGAGTTAACAGGGAGAGATCTCTCAGGCACCTGGCCTGGGAAAAATGCTTCACAGGCGAGTTTTAAGATGACTCATGACCACCTTCATTGTGCCCCCTGTCCTGGTCATACCTTGGGGACATTCACAGTGAATAAAGTCAATAAACAAGGGAAAATGCAGGCCTGGGCTGGGGCTGGGCCAGGGAAGTGCTACAAGAGCAGCACTGCCTGTTTGTCTTTCCACAATCCCATCCGGGTCAAGGGCTTCTCCCTTTCCCAGGCTGCATGTTCTGTGTCCTGTCATGATCATCCCAGCTTCCATGGAAAAGCACGCAGGACAAGTTCTGAAAATAGGTCAGGTCCAGCCTAAGTCCTAGAACAGTGACAACTTCAGGTGTGAAGATTTTAACTAAAAAGGACCTGGGGCTTGTACCAGCTCTGGGGATGTGGGATGAAGCTGACTCTGGCCGGTAATTGGGCCAGGAACAGGCGGAGGGAGTGAGCCCAAACAGGATGGGGAGTAATGGGACAGGAAAGGCAATGCAAGGAGTTCACTCCCACTGCCCAGGGCCCTAGTGGACCTGACCTGGGGGCCTGTGGGGGCTGGGACTGGAGGGACACTGAAGTCCTGAGTCACATCTAACTTGCTCTTCCTGAGATCTTCTGCAAGACCTATCTAACTCGACGCCAAAAGGAAAAAAACAAAACAAAAACAAAAAAACCACACACACAGGCAGCTTCCAAAAGAAGCGAAACCATTTATCATCAGCGCCCGCGCGGTATCTACAGTATCTACACTTATCTACATGTATCTACACCGCCTGCAGGCGGAGCTCTTGGGTCGTCTACATTGCCACTACCGGCGGGACGGAGTCGTTGCGGTCTCGCGGACTTGGGGAAAACAATAAATAGCACTTCCTTCCATCTCCGACCCGGCGCTTTGGCACTGTCGGGCGGGATCCCCCGTGGCCCTTGGGGCTGGGAAAGGAACCCTGTTTTCTCCGGGGTTGAAGTGACCGGATAGTTTTCAGGGCTGGAGGGTGGAGGACCCTAATGACTTCAAGATTGGGGAAGGACAGGACCCGAGGTGGGCACCGGGCCTGGGAGAAAGTGTCCTTTGATGGCCCTCAGGGCTGCGCGGGGCTTCCGTGGGTCAGGGCCCAGAGCGCAGTTGCGGCTTGCATTATCTGGGGCAGTAGTCGTAGGAGCCGGGCGGCGCAGCCCCAGCAGACGAGTACATGTTGGCGGCGGCAGCAGCAGCTGCCGCGGCAGCAGCGGCAGCAGCAGCTGGACTCACCGCAGGGTGATGGTGGTGCGGGTGTGCGTGCGCGTGCGGGTGGTAGCCGTGGCCTCGCAGACCCGGTAGCGGGTAGGGCGCTGGCCGGCTCTTGGCCCCGAGGTAGTGGTCGTAGGCTGCGGCCGGATACTTGTAAGGATGGTGGTGTAGGGGCTCCGATGCGCCGGGCGCTTCCAGGCGCAGCTCGGGGTGCGGGGGACTGGGTCGGCCTCCGGACGCGCCGGGCAGCTGGACGAGGCCGCTGGCGCCACTGGCTCCGGGCAGCGCGGGGCTCAGCACCCGGGCCAGCAGCTGCGGTGGATGCGCGGGGTCCCCGAGCATGGCTGACCCGCCCGCGTCGCGTTCGAATTCTCGCCGGACCTCAGCAGGGTCTGCGGGAGCGAACCGAGGGGGTGAGCGCAGCGAACTGGGACAACCGAGATGACTCCCAGAAGGCTCAGCCAGCGAGGAGGCGAGAGGCCGCGCTCGGGGCACTCCCGCCTCTACTCTGCGAACCTGCCGGAGACCCTGCACCGCCTTCGTGCCGAGCCCTCCCCAGGGGCCGAGCCCCTTCTCGGGCGGCTGCAAAGGGCAGGGAGCGCAGGCGGGGCGCAGCCTTCGGGCGGGCGGGCGTGTGCGCGCTTGCCCGCCGCCACTGCCGTTGTGCAACCGGCGCGAGGGCTGCAAGCGCCGCGGGGGTACAGGCGAGGCCGGGCGCGGCCGTCGACCTGGGATGGAACGCGCGCGAGTCCGCGGCCTGGATCCCAAGACCCCGGCCCTACCTTTCTCCGCACCGTTGGGCTGCGTTGGAGAGGCCACCGGGTTCCGCGAGCGCGCAAAGGCGCTCATGAGCGGCAGTGCACCGGGCCGGTGATTCCGGGGCCTGTGAAAGGGGGCGGATCAAGTCGGCGCCCCAGCCAGGCGCCCGGGCACTCGCTTTCTGCTTGGAGGACACTCACCAGTCCTCAGGGTCGCAGTCCCGGAAGCCTTTGGCAAAAGGGTTGCTAGCAATCTTCAGCTGCGTGATCTGCAGGGAAGCCGGCAAGTGCAAGCTGCTGAAGCCCGGCAGCCCGCGGCCACCCAACCCCAGCGACAACGAACAAGGGAGTGTTAGGAACCTCTCTGCGCTGCCCAGGCAAGAACCGGCCCTCCTCTATCCCATTCCCCATGGACATTTTGCCTCCTCTTGCATTAGGGGGACTGGATAGCCTCCTCTCTCACTAGGAGATGATTCACTGCCCAGGGAGGGAACCCACTGCTTCTTAGGGTGCCCTCCTTGGTCCCAATAAATAAATGGATATGAAGACTTTGTGCCCTGGTTAGAATGGGAACGTGGTCACCTCTGGCCTCCAAGGCGCAGCAGGGGGATCTAAGCTGGCGCCCTAGGAATCTGAGTAAACCTAGGTTCAGGCCCCTGATGGGGAGTTTCCGGAATGGTTTGGAAAACAAACTTTCTGGGGGCAGTGACAGTTGCGGCTACAGAGGTCAAGCTGATAGAAGGCTCGGTCAGCCTGGCAGAGGGAGGGAGCAGTTTGAGGCCCTTGAAGGAGGGGTTGTGCTCTGTCAGGACCCACAACCTGCAGGTCTAAGCTGTCTATGACCCCAGGCATCGAATGTACCTTGCACTCCATTCCCAGAAATGTTGTATGTGCCCCTCCCCAGAACCTCCCTGCAGGTCCTCACCCTGTGGTTCTGGTAGGCAGTGACCGCAGTGAAGCGTGTCTCCTCGAATACAAAGGTTTTGAAGTTCTCCTCTGCATATTTCTCACTATCTTTGCGTGGGTCCACATAGACAACATGGAAGCGAGGCTGGTATCTGTGCATGGAGTTGAGAATAATCTAGAAGGCAAGGTGGAGGATCAGCTCCAGCGAAGGAGCTGGGACTGAGAATCCCGGTGAAAGCTGGAAAACGGAATTTCCTTTGATAATTTGAGCAAAACCCTTAACTTCTGAAATGAGCCGTGAGACCCATTTGGGATCTCCTAAAAAGATAGCCCAAGTGACAAGTGATCAGGATTTATATTCTTTCCTTAGGTCCCCAGAAATTGCTGTGGGGCCTGCAGAGGGTGGTCGCTGTAGAGCAGAACTCAACGGGAAAGCAGCCTCACAGGCCTGAATTCCACAGTCTCCTGCCCACCCCACCTCCCCAAACCTGTCATCTGTCCTTTGCAATTAAAGATCAGGGGATGAGGGAAGGGTAATCCCCTTTCCCAAGTCAGCAGCCTACCCCCTGACCAGAGGTCCATTCTCTGAAGCCTGTCCTCTCTGATCAGTGAGGACGGCCAAGGGCCTGCAACAGGGACATCTCGGATGCCTGGGGAGAAGGGATCGCTCACATGGCCATTGTCGTCCAGCAGGTTGTTGGTCAGCTTGAGCTTGTCGAAGGACACAATTTGCTTCATCCACTGTGCACCTTTGGCAGGTGAGTCAGGGTGGTAGTGCACTCGGCCCGGTGTGGCAGGGTCTGCCTTGCCAGCTACTAGCCAGGAGGAACTATGGAAGGCATACCTAGGGTAGCACCGGGGCAGGAGTCATGCCATTCTGGGGTGAACCAACAGGATCTTACCCCATGTGCCAGTTGAACCCGGAAAGTGCCTCTGAGGAGTTTCTTCATCAGTGAAATCAAGCCGTCCAATGTCACATGGACTGGTAGTTTTCACAAGGGGATTGTGGAAAAACCAGAAAAATCCCACCAGCATACAAAATGAACAGGGAACCAGGGCCCCACCAGGATACCAAGAGAAGGCAGTGCTCCCCTTCTCTTCTCATTTCGCTGCACACGGGTCTGCCCTGTGCTAATGTGGTGGGAGGCTAGATTTGGCTTCACTGGCAGCCTCGGGCACAGGGCGGTCCAAATTCGCTTTATTAATTGCTGTTAATTGTCCGGGTAGCAGAGGCCCGCCCAGAATAATCTCTCCCAGCCACCCCACCTTTCCGGCTCAGCTCTGGGACCCAGCGTTCCCTGGAGATGGGGGAAGGGGACAAGGCGCTCTGGCACCTCCTGGGAGAGGAAGACCTGAGGAAACTGAGGGCTGCGCTTGACCCACCCTTCCCAGGCCGTGGAGGCCCAAGGGCATCAGAGCTGCCTCAGGGCTGAAGTTCGAGGGGTTCCCAGCTGTGTGACTTCCTGAGGCAGGTTCTGGAGAACAAGTGGGGAAGGGAGTTGGGTCCGATGGGGGCAGGGAAGAGAGCAGGCTGAGAATGTCAGTGGGGCAGCGAGCGCAGATGCCTGGGTGAATTTGGTGGTACTTGGAGTTAGCAGACATGAACCCACTGCTTCTTAGGGTGCCCTCCCTAGTCCCAAGCATATACAGCCAGCCCAAGTAGTCCCAAGGACTTGCTCACCGGTAGCGCTTGTCATCTACCGGCACAAAGTCCATGAGCAGCATGTAGTCAGCCATGGGGTCCATGCCGAAGAGCTTCACTTGGAACGTGGGGAACATTCGCCTAGAGATGGTGGAGCCTCAGGTCACCTCATTTGGAGGAGGACCAAACTGCCCTACCTTGACTTGGGGGAGGCACAGGCAGCACTCACTAAGCCCTTCCTTCTAGTTTCTTTCTGGTTGCGGTCTTTCTGATCAGCTCTCACTCAGCTGCTCTAACCCAAGTAGGTTCCTACCCTACCACGGGTAAGTGCAGCAGGTCCCTTTCTGTAACAGAAATGGCTAACCCAGTCCTAACCTTCTTCTGCCACCTTTTCCTGAGTAGACCCAACCTTGCCTTGTCAATTTCTTGGCCAGGGTGCCAAAGGGTCCCTAAGATGCAATCTCCAAGCTTCTCTGCCTTTGACAGAGCCTCCCCAGCTTGATCTAAGTGGCTCCCGGTTCCAACAAAGTGAAACCGGGCGGTCCACATAATTCTGGGGAGTCTTCATTGCCTTTTGAACTGGGTCTATGGCTGTTCCCCAATCCCTCTGGAGAGGCTGAAGAGCTGGGTCTGTGGCTGTACCCCAATCCCTGACTCTTAGATCCTGGCCCAGTGCTGGAATCTCCCCACCGTCCTCTGGACTCAGGCAAGTTCCTGCTTCCTCAAGACCCACAAGCCCAGATGCAGCTGCCCAGAACAGACTTTGCTTATACCTTCATGGTTTCCCAATAGCTTCTCTTCTGGACCCTGACTCAGTGACAGATCAGGGCTCTTAAAAGGACCTTTTGCAACTCCTGGTTGGGCCGCTGGCCATGGGCCAGCCCTGGCCTGATGGCGCAGAAATGCACGGGACCCTGAAGGACAGCACAAGGCTTGGTCCCTTCTTGTCCTTCTCACTGCCTCCCCTCATAGGCAACTCCCTGCAGTCAGTGGGCAGAAAACATGCCAAGGACCAGCACTCCAGGACAGGCCGCCTGCCACCCCCACACAAATCCTCTGCAAGTCCAGAGTTCTGCAGAATAATGTCTTCTAGGGTAAAGCCGACGACAAGGCCCTTGCTGGGTTGAGTTGGCCTGAACCAGAGGCCCGACCACTGTCCTCAGGAGGCCCTGTGTACACAGGGACAGCAAAGATCCTGAAGAAAATCCATGGAGCAGGAGATGAGGACAGACCCTAGGCTCCCCAGGGATGACGGCTGTGGCAGGGAAACAGGAACCGCGAGAAGGCTTTGCAAACAGGCCCAGCGCTCCCCTTGACTGTGCGGACACAGAGCTGGTGTGTACATTAGACACAGCCCAGCACCAGCCTTTGTCTACTGGTCAAATCGGGTGCATCTGCAAAACTTGTTCCCCTTCTCTCTCGGCCCTTAAAACAAATACAGGCCAATCGAAAGGCGACAGCCCGGCTTGCGCAGAGCCAGGCCCGCAACTACCCGAAATTTAGGCCTGAGAAAACTGGGTATCGAGTTCCACTGAACCAAGCACACTGTTTTAAAGGGTCTTAATTCTCTCCTAAAATCTTCTATACAATTGCTCAGCTTCTGTTCTTTATCTTGCCCGCATTGACTGAACTCCGGAACCCAAACAGGAGTTTCCTTTGAGGTGGGATCCACCAGGAACCTGCTGGGCGGCCAGGCCCTTACTCTCGGCTGCCGGCCCCCAACTCAGTGCGCTCTAGCCCGCTGCTTCCCTGCGCGGCATCCTGGGGCTGCGGGTCGAGCGGGCCTGTTCCGGGACTTCTCTCCCTACCCATGCTGTCCTCTCTCGCTCAGCGCTACCCGCCGCTATCGCCGGAGCCGGGACCACAGAGAGTAAAGGCGGCGACAAGGCCGAGAAGAACTCGCAGGTGGCCGAGCCGCGCCCCCCACCCGGCTTTTAAGCCCCACTCTCGTGCATCCGAACGAGGGGTGCAGTCCGTAAGTGGCAGCATATGGGGAGGGTAGCGGCGCGGGGAAGGGGCACCCTGACCTGCCGGCCTTGGTGACGATCATCTCGGTGCCCAGCTGATTGAACTCGTCCCACAGCGCCTTCATCTCCAGCTGCACGCTCACGCTGGCTACCTTCGCGTTCTTCTTCACCGGCGCCTTGGCGGCGGCCACGCAGCTG